CATCTGTATGTAATGTTCTGATTACTTGAGTACTGTACTACCTGGGCCCATATCATGCCTCCACAAGTAGACACAGACACCTTTTTCAAACCACAGGGGGCTGTTTGCCTCACATCACTCGTCCGTCCTCTCTGATGCGCATTCTGTTGGTCCATCCCACTTAAAGCAGGGAATTACTTAGACTGGAGTTTCCATAAACTTCTCCGAGTCAAAACTATTCATTGTTTTTAATCCGTCCATGTGAGCCAACCATTTTGAGCACTGGTATTTTTCTGGTGTTCCAGTTTTACAAACTATAGAAAGCGAAATGTGTAGAGATCACACAAAGCTTCTGACCTATTCACTCAGTAATAATGGTTATTATTGGTAGTTTACTCAGTAGTAATAACAATAATAATAATAATAATAATTGCTTACACTTATATAGCGCTTTTCTGGACACTCCACTCAAAGCGCTTTACAGGTAATGGGGATCCCCTCCACCACCACCAATGTGCAGGGTTATTATTGGTTATTATGGTAATGGTTATTATTGGTGGTTCGCTCAGTAGTAATGGTTATTATTGGTGGTTCACTCAGTAGTAATGGCAATTATTGGTAGTTTGCTCAGTAGTAATGGTTATTATTGGTAGTTCGGCCTGTAGTAATGGTTATTATTGGTAGTTCGCTCAGTAGTAATGGTTATTATTGGTGGTTCACTCAGTAGTAATGGTAATTATTGGTATTTTGCTCAGTAGTAATGTTAATTATTGGTAGTTTGCTCAGTAGTAATGGTTATTATTGGTAGTTCGCCCTGTAGTAATGGTTATTATTGGTAGTTTGTTCAGTAGTAATGGTTATTATTGGTGGGTCACTTAGTAGTATTGGTAATTATTGGTAGTTTGCTCAGTAGTAATGGTAGTTATTGGTAGTTTGCTCAGTAGTAATGGTTATTATTGGTAGTTCGCCCTGTAGTAATGGTTATTATTGGTAGTTTGCTCAGTAGTAATGGTTATTATTGGTGGTTCGCTCAGTAGTAATGGTTATTATTGGTGGGTCGCTCAGTAGTATTGGTAATTATTGGTAGTTTGCTCAGTAGTAATGGTAGTTATTGGTAGTTTGCTCAGTAGTAATGGTAGTTATTGGTAGTTTGCTCAGTAGTAATGGTGGTCACTCCGAGCTCTGTAATACTGACATGATGAGTTTGAGTCTGGGTCATGTCACTGGCTACCCCCAATAGGAGGAGCATTGCGAGAGGGGGTTTGGATTAAGCAGGTGGGGTTCTCTCTCGTCGTTGGCCTCGCAGGCCATCAGTGACACACTGCTCCTCTCATTGGAGCCAGCTGTCCTGTCGGGCGCTGCAGGGGTATCCTGGGAAGAGATGAACGTCTTGCTCAGGAGAGCATGTCTGCCCTCTGTCCTTCTTCTTATACTACTGGACTGGGAGCGGAAGCATACAGCAACAGTGGGCGATCCCGAATTGGAAGGGAAAGAAATGAAAATCTTTAAAAAAAGTAAAAATCAACTAATCCTGAGAATTGTCTTTGTGAACTATACAAGTCTTGTTAGGTACTTAAGAATTTACTGTGGCTTCTTGTGAAGATTGGGCTCGTGAGACAGAAAACTCGGTGAAGTCTTGTCATTTTGTTATATCTTAGTACAACACAGATTTCCCCCAAACCTGGTCGAAAGCCTAGAATTAGTGTAAGTGATCATGGAGAAAGGGTTGATCATTTTCTTTGATCATATTCAAGGAGCTGCTCTCCTTGATTGTCTGGGTTGTGTTCCTGAGTATAACTGAAAATGTGTTGAAAGCCAGTTTTAGACCAGTATTGGAAAGCATGTTTTACACATGGGAGGGTATTAACACAACCCAGATGCTCTGACAGACTCTAAAAAACAAAGGAAAAACACATGGTGGTGCAGTGGTGAGCATTGCTGTCTCGCAGTGCTGGGCCCTGGGTTCAGTCCTGGAGTGCTGTGTGGAGTTTGCATGTTCTCCCGTGTTTGTGTGCGTTTCCTTGTGATCTCCGGTTCCTCCCACAGACCAAAAATGTACTGGCAGGTTAATAGACTTCTGGAAATATTGGCCCTGGGCTTCTAGATGAGCCCCAGCTGGGGTAGGTCCTATAAAGACACACTGTACACCCCCCAAGGGGACCAGCAGGGACATCCCCGCAAGGGGGAGTTTACACCTGCTGTCCCAGAGGGGACTGCACCCACGTAAGGTTAACTTTTTGCTTTTGCCTATCCCATCACGTATCCTCACAGGGCAGGCACACACACACCCTTTCTCACACACTCAGTTCTTGTTCTCTTTTGGCCTCACGCGCCCTGCTCTTCCAGACTGGACCCCTCTGAACAGGGTCGGTCCAGTCTGGTCCCCTCTGTGCGAGCGGTTCTTCTTTTGCCCAGGCTGGACCCTGTTAAATAGGGTGAGCCCAGCCCGGAGGTCCCGAGGCACAGCAGTACCCCTTTCTTTTTGCCCTTTTGTGTTATTTTCAGGCCCTGCTGACCTCACAAGGGCGTTGACTTTTGACCTGTGCTCGCGGCGGCTCCGCCCTCCCCGCACTGTCACACCTGCCGCAGCATTGCTCCTGTTGCATGCTGGGATAGGCTCTGACCCCCCCACAGCCCTGAATTGGAAGAAGCAGTTAGAAAATGAATGGATGTGCTGAATGGTCTGTTGTCATCATTATTTTTTCTTAATAACATAAGAAGCACAAATGTAACATAAGAACACTTGAACCAAGAGGGAGCTATTCAGCTCATCTAGCCCACTTACAATGGTAAGACGCATCTCTGCAGTTTTCTAGCTTGGTTATGCTATAGTTTATTAAATTGTTTAGCCCTGGCCTCCCTCCCCTTGAATTCTTCAGCTCTCCCGACCCAAATATAAAAACTAGTTATAAAGACCAGCCACCCTATTCCGCTCCAATGGAAAGCGTTTTTCCCCTCTTCAGTATAACTTGGCCCACGTGTGTGAAGCATTGCTCGGGAATCACGAGTTTGTGGGATGAAATAATAGTTTGACGATGAAAGAGCAACAGCAGGGCTTGATTACTTGCAATGTGTAAAACAGCTGGCAGGGTGGCTGCCTGGTCTGCGAGGAATTCAGGCAGCGAAAGACAGAAAAGTCGCAGAAGGAAAACATAGTTCTGTGCGCGTCTGCGTGGAGGTGTGGCAGACCCAAACCGGAGGCATTTATAGATCCAACTGAGGGTCAAATCAGAGCTTACTGCCATCGTGAAAAGCGTTTATAATTATATACGTTATTACATCATCCACCCGCTGACCAAAATATCCCAAGGCTCTTTTATTGATAGATTGGGCTGAGAAGCATGAGATAGACCTTCATCACCTTCCTCCGCTAGGACAGTCCTGTTATTACAGTTTTGTTGACAAAAAGGTGAAATATGCCGTTTACTCCTTATGTCCTCTTACCCATATCACAAAGGTATTTGAAAACTAGGTGGGCTGGATTAGTAGTTTTGGCCTGTGGGTTGACTTGATCTTCCTAGTACATTTGTATTTGCATTAGGGGGTTCTCATTTACTGGATTAATTGGATGTTTTTGCATGAAGTGGCCTGGAGGAGGGAGTGCTACTCAAGA